CAAACGAAAGCTGTGTGCAAATGGCTTCTTGAACTCCTCAGTCCTCTTTCTCATGTGGTGGTGTGGATGGGGAAGGAGGGATTCTCCAACTGTTTCTTCTGGATGAGGCTAACTAGTAGCCGGAAAGCAACTTCTTGTTTACTATGACTGTGTTGCTCCTACTGTTTTTGAAGCAGCAACTGTATCCTAGTCTTGTCTTGCTCCACAGCACAGGGTGTGCTTGTGAGATGGGGGTGGGGAGATTGGGGGAATTATCTGAAAAAATGGCTTTAGTTTTCTAGAGGTGGAGGAGAGAATAAAGAAAAAAAAATCCAAACATGTTCTTGCAAAGGGGAAAAAGTCTTGAGGGAAAAATCAGCTTTGTTTTAAATCAAACACAGGATGTGCAGGTGGGATTCTTTGTAGGACTGGAAGGCAATATCATACAGCACCTAGCCCAAACAATGAAGGACAACTTAAGTATTAGTTAGGAAACGTTAAATGTGTGGAAGGGGAAAAATGACTATTTCTTCAGACTTGCAGGTTTTGGAGCTGACACTTCAAACATAGGGTGGCTTGTTTAGTTTGCTTTTGCTGTTTCTCCCCTACTTCCCCCTTGAAAATACTTTTATTAAACTGCAGATAGGCAACTGGGTGCCTTTCAGATGTGTTGGGTTACAGTCCCCATCAGTTCCAGTTGCTATGGCCAATAATTATTGGAGGCATAGTCCTAAATACATGAATGGCACTCAGTCGACCTGGAGGGATAGATTAGGTGGAAAGACTTATAGAAAATGACTTTATTGATATATGTCCTTCCTCATTGGGTAGTAGAGGCAGACTCATTCTTCTGCCATAAAGAGCTCAAAGACTTTTTAAAAGAATCAACAAATGACAACAAGAAAATATATATGATTAACCCAGGCAGGGAACCAGGACAGAAGTCCAAGCAAAACTTGGAGAAAAATTGCCCAGGGCATCTCCACAAAATGGCTGCCATGAGAGCCATGTCTGATCACAAAGGACAAGTATCCTGCCCCAAAGACTGCATGTGGCAGCAGAGTCTGAGCTTCACTCCCTGAACAATTCAGTTGAAGGCACCATTTCCAGCAGCAGGGTGGGCTTTTTCACAGAAAGCAAACTTTCTGTCTCTCCTTGACTTCTTCTGTCAGCCAACTCTTTCCCAGAGGATCACAGAATGCTGCATTTTACTGAGTCAGATCATTGCTCCGTCAATACCAGTGTTGTCAACACTGACTGGCATATTTCCTGCCTGACATAGAACCTGAATCTGAGACCTGCAGCATGGAAAGCAGGTACTCTAGCACTGACCTGCTTAAATCTCTCTTCTTCCTTCCTATCTCTCATACTCCGTACTCCCACCCATGAATGCTCGCTCTCTCTCCCTCTCTCTCTCTCTCTCTCTCTCTCTCTCTCCCTCTCTCTCTCTCTCTCTCTCTCTCTCTCTCTCTCTCTCTCTCTCTCTCGCATATACACACAGCCACATGTTTTCTTATGGCAGCAGCTGGAAGCCCACCATGTGCTTTAAGGTCATGCCTGATGCTGTTAAGAATATGTGTTCATTTTTTTTTAAATGGGAGGATTGGAGGCTGGCAGAAAGATTGAGGTGTGCTGAGACCTGTGGGACGCACACTACTTACACTGGCCATAAAACAAAACCACTGCATTGTGACAGCTTGTGTTGTGTTGGCCAGTGATTGCAAGCCACAAGTTTTCAGTAATGAGTTTTTCAGCTACTTTTTCCTGCTTATATTTTCCATTTCAGTTCACACTGAGGACCAATGCAACATTGCAGATAGCAATTAGAAGTTGGGGATGAATCAGGGAGATCCTTCTCTGCCACTAAGTTTACTTGGTAGCCATGCACTTATGAGAGTTTCAGCCTAATCTACCTTACAGAGTTGTAGACTAGATAGGATGAAGCTTTTGTTAGATAACTGGTGGAATAAAAAAGAATATAATATATTGTTAAGGTGCAGAAACAAGATTATACCACCATTCTTTGTACAGCCTATTTTAGCTTTTACACACACGTTGATTGACTATGTATATCAGGGATGCTTTTAGCACCACTGGTGAATGGGTCCAAGAAATCCTATTAATGAAGACAAACCATTAAAATTGGTGAACCTGAGCCCAGGGCGCCACTGTCTTTCAGGCACAGCACCCCTCAGGAAATAAATCCTCCATTTGATGGAGAGGATACAGTTAGGCATAAAGCTTTACTGCAATATTCTGCATCTGAAATGTCAAAACTGGTAGATAATTTTGTATGTATTACCTGTCTAATAATTATGTACATTAGGGAGTTAGAAAGAAATCAGTTATTTCCTAGGAAAACTTTTAGTAATGGAAGATATCTTGTCTTGTTTTTAGGGTGGCAGAGCAGCAATAAACTTTTGAAATAAATACTCAGAAGATTCTGTGACTGTTGAGGATGTTCAACCCATTATGTTTTTCTGATTTCTGGAACATTCCATATAGCATTATCTTTTTCCATTGGACACTTCCATTTTCAGGAAAAAGAGAAGCAGAAATAAGGATGTGTTAATACACATGATTATCCTTTGAAGCTTCCAATCTCAATTTCAGTTTAGGTCAGCTTCACTGCATCTTCCAGGATCTCAACACCTGCACATTAAGCAACAATTAATCCTGTAAAGCTATCGTCATCATTTTATTCCCAGGTCAAGAAAAATGTTAGCTGTTGATTTTGACTATGAGGATGCAAATGTTTTACCAAGGTGGAAAATTATGGAATAAAACTATTTAGACTAGAGTTAACATTAGAGATGGATAAAATCTGTCAGTTTCAGTTTCAAATGCTCCAGTTCAATTCATCTTAAATTTTAATATTTCCATTAATTATTTTTATTTTTCAAATCTTAAGTTTGATAACTGAGAATTTAAGTACTTTTGAATTTTTGCCTAACATGCATTTTTCCTATTTGAGGATTATTTCCCCACATATGCACATTGCAAGAATTGGAGACATGTGCATTTTGAAAAATAACTGATTTTTGGTTCCTATACCCATTGAAATACACAGAATTAGATAAGTTCACATTAAAATATGAATAGAATATTTTTCCTGCATCCCCATTATTAATTCACAATGGTCATAGTGAGCATGTCCACATTTATTGGCTATATCTTCAGTACGTGCTTCTATTTGTTTCAGGATAAGGAGCGCTTCTTCATGTTCTTTTTGCTCCATGGGTGGCCCTTTAATTGTTCTTGTATACACTGCCAGGGATGCCAGAACAATCATATGTATTCTCTCAAATTATTTTTGAGATGGAATTAGATGTAACAAATTTCCTGCAGAGGGAGGGTGTTTTAAAACATGATGGGGGGTGAACTCTCAGTCAGTTGTGTTTTCTGCCTGAAAACGTATTTGGAGCTATTTTCTTCTCTATAGATGCATAAGAAAAAATGGCCTTTTAAAATATATGCTTGAAATTCTTCTGAACGCTGCATGGGAATTTCCTGGCAGACCTGATTATGCTCACTGATCTGCTATTGTCATGGGCAGTTTGGTCCTAAACTTAATGACTCACATATTGTATAAGCATTTTTACTGCATGGACATGACTTCTGAGTATCTGGATAATCAAGCTTGATATTAATTGGTACAATCGGTACAGAATTGTCAGTACAATTAGGATCATAACCTGTATATTTCAGTGACATTATCCCATTATTTCTCACAGATAATCACATGCTCTGTAATTCTAAGAATTCAATTCCGTTCCATGGTAGGCTGCAACAACTTATCGTGGCTATACTTTACTTGCTAACTGCTTAGAGATGCACAGACTGGAAGCCCCAAAAAGAGGCATATGTAGGTCTACCCACTTCTCCGTCTCCATCAGCAGCTTCTTCTGCTGACTCAGAAATGAAACACAGCAAAAATGCTTTGAAATGTACTAAAAGCCTGTTACTATGGACTATGCTTGAGGAGGAAAAATATGGGAAAATTTCAGAGTTATGAATTAAACAGTGGTAGAAAAGAAACAATGAACTTTATTGTGGTGGCTAATACCACAAATTAAAACTCAGAAATCTATAGATTCCTCAGTAACCTGATTTCTCAAAATGAAACACATTGTCCTATACAACCTGGTAATAAAAATGGAAAAATCATGGATACAGCATGGTGTTCCTGAGCCTTCCTGCTCAATTCATTACAAAATGTCATTTTACACTATACTGTCTGAAAGGAAGAACAAATACCTCAAATGTGATTAATTTTAAGTGTTCATAACCCAGTAATCTAAAATCATTGAAACCTATTCCCATCCTTTATGGAATTTCTCTCCAGGATAAAGATAAAATGCAAACAAAGAAGAGTTAAATGTGACAGACAACTGATACACATTCAGACCTCACATATGTGACACAGCTGCTCACTCTGGGTTCTCAGTGAGTTGTTTTGCTTCTCATGTAGGTGTGACGGTGTGTGCATGTGTGTGGTTTATTCATTTTTAAATTTATCTTTTACTAAACATTAAATTATTTTTCAAGAAATAAAAAGATATTTACATGATCATTATCTACAGTATGCCATCAGTTATCTTCAGTATTAACATGCACCAGTGAGGGCCTCATCCATAAACTTGATCAGGCTTGTCAGCAGCCATTTTGTGCATTCTGCCAACCTTCATGAGAACCCAAAAAGTTGACCTTGGAAGGCTTCATTCCCTATTTTTAAAGATATACAAGATAATATATATACTCAGTGGACAGAATCCAGTGGGCTGGTAAGTCATGGCCAACCCTGCATTCAGCAGGAAGAAGCCTGGTAAGAACAATTAAATAGACTTCTGAGACTGCCACTGGCAAAGCAGACCAATTGTTTCTCTGAATAGGGAAATAGAAAATGCTTCTAAAAAATTATTCCTGGATTCCATTAAGCCTCATAGTATTCTATTATACAGTTTTCCAAATGCTGAATTTATGAATGTGGCCCTGGAAAACAAAACAAAATCGCATCCCTCAAACCCCTCTTTAATAATTATAATAATAATAATAATGATGACACAGAACTTTCCTTTTACAATAATAATAATAATAATAATTAATAAAAATAAAAACTCAGAAATGTTGTCGAGTGGATTTCTGTTATTAAACACTAGTGCAGTTGGGTATTTCCTTTGTGCTTTCGCTGTTGGAGATTGTTGAGATGCTTCCTAAGGAAAAGGAAAAAATGGTAGAGTCAGTGCAGGGTCCAAGGCATACCTGTTTGCCACGATCTCTTTCTAGATATTGGGTCATGTATGAACACTTGCATAGTTGGTTAGATACATTTTCTTCTGATGTGAAGACTATGGGCTTCTTTAGCCACCACATCAACTGCAGAAGCTGTTGTGATCATTGCTTTCACTAATCCTGAACTTTCCTTCAAGGCCAAGACTTCTAGGTAATGAACATGATGAAGAAGTGATCCTGGCCTTCCTCAGAAAGCATAAATTTATGGCGGAGAGAAGTCAATCTGCACTAGAGATGTTATGAAGCCCATCTGCATCTTTTTTTGCAGTGTCCTCCCATTGTTAGGTCTCTCTGATACCATTGGTATCCTACGGTACCTTAAATTTATGTCCCACAAATTGTATATTCAATTCCTTTCTCTTTCTCAAAAGAGGGAGCAGAGAATATTCTGCATGCACATGAGGTGTTTCAATGCACTGCATGGGCAGCCGTGTTGTTTACCTATAACCCGTGTGTCCAGCTCTTTGTCCATGAGTTCTTCAGGGTCTGTGAATTCGCTCAGAGTGATTTTGGGGGCATTTTCACTTTGGCTAACGGAACCAATCATTTCCTGTTCCTTGTCATGCTGGACCTGAGCATAGATGTTAATCCACGGGATTTTCCTGCGTTCAAAAAAGACAATCAAGCAATCTTCAGCAAAGTGTTTGGCCTTTCTGAACCATGTTGAATATTGCTTTATCATGGCTTATCATATATATTATATCATAAAATATGAAACAAAAGAGGGACAAGCATGTTAGTAATTAACACTTGTAAACAAATATCTTTGAGTGTACCTCACCTAAATTTTAAAGATGTGCAACAGAATATATTCGATGTAAGTACAGGAGGTACACAAAAATGTCCAGTCTGGCCAGCTGAAACCTGAAATTTGTATTGTACCAGCTCTAAGATTAAAAAAGAATGCAGGAAGTTGGGAACAAAAGCAAGGACATCCCACCATTCCTACTGAATATCTACTTGTTTTTCCTCTTTTCTTCTCACCCCTTTTTCCTTGTGTGTCATGTCCTTTAGATGATACAGCTGTGGGCAGAGATTGTATTATTTCACTGATTACGTATAAGCTACTCTGGTAGACAGGTTGGCTGAAAAGTGGTATGGAAGATACTTTAAGTATATGAATACAATGAAAATGGTACTCAAAGGAGCTGGCAACTCTTTCATCAAGTTCAGTGCAATATAACAATCCAACCAAACTTACAATGCTTAAAATAATCCCTTTTAAGTAGCAGATGTGAAATTTTGCACAGCATGATTGCATAGGCTGAGGGAAATAATTTTGCAGCAGCATATTAAGAGAGTGGCAACCATTGGTCTGATCTAGTATGACTTTTCATATGCTGTTATGTAACCTCAGTTCAGCACTCTGATCACTTCACAATGATGCTCATTATGTCATTAGATGTGTTCGGGTCACCTGCATGCTAGAATTCTAACTGAATCAGTTCCTACCCAATGTTCAATGGTGGGTAAAGAGAATAGAAAGAAATAAAAAATGACTGTGCAAATCTTCAGGGTGCATCTCAAAGCTGCATTTCCATTTCTCTGCTAAAGCCTTCTATGACAGGAGATCCACAACTATGCAGGAAATATTTCCTTAACTAATTTTTGGAATAAATGTAGCAAGCCATATAAATTTGTTGATAATACTGCGACAGATAGGGATGGGAGAAGCAGCAATTTTCATGCTCACCTAATTTCTCCAAAAGTCACTTTGGAGCTCATTTCAGCTCACTCCCATTTTCATTTTTGACCTGGGTCTGGCATCACTGAACAAGAAAAGTCTTCATTTTTATGGATATTTTCAACTAGTGTGCAATTTGACCAGTGTGAAAATGCATACTTCTAAAATGCACATTTCAAGTGTATGCTTTAAATATGCATTTAAATGACAATTTCAGGAATTTGCTAGCATTTCTTGGGAAAAAATATGGCTGGGCTGGGAGCAGGGACATCCAGCCACATTCTGGATTAGAAATGGGACTTGTTTGCATGATTTGCAAACAGCAACAACATTATCACATACCTCAAGTCCAAAAGCTAATAAATACAATTGTGTAGGCTGTCATATCCACTTGAATAATATAGAAAAAATAGCAAATGAAGCCAATAGCAGTGAGGGACGCGGAACAAGTAACATGTTTTGAGGAATCTGTAGCAGCTAAGGGAAAGAGGTGCTGAACCGGTGCCTGGCTGAGGTAATGGGCTGGATGAGGGCCAATAAACTGAAGCTCAATCCAGACAAGATGGAGGTCCTGTTGGTTGGCAGATCGGGCTTCGGAGAGGGTGAATTGAACCTAGTCCTGAATGGGGTTACACTCCCTCTTAGGGACAAGGTCCGCAGCTTGGGAGTGCTCCTTGACCCAGAGCTTTCACTGGAAGCTCAGGTGACAGCGGTGGCAAGGAGTGCTTTATTTCAGCTTCAGCTGATCCATCAGCTGCGCCCCTACCTGGACAATGACTGGCTGGCAACAGTGACACACGCATTGGTGACTTCCCGACTTGACTTCTGTAATGCGCTCTATGTGGGGCTGCCCTTGAAGATGGTCCAGATACTTCAATTGGTTCAAAATATAGCTGCCAGGCTGCTGACGGGGACTGGGCATTATGTTCACAAGACTCCAGTCCTCCGTCAGCTTCACTGGCTTCCCTTTGAAGTCCGGGCCCAATTCAAGGTGTTGGTGATGACCTATAAAGCCCTTAATGGCTTGGGTCCTGGTTACCTGAAGGAGCACTTATGTCCATATATGCCCGCCTGCCCCTTGAGATCAGTGGGAGAGGCCCTTCTCCGGGAACCCTCCGTGAAGGAAATTAGGAGGATGAGTACTCGGAGGAGGGCTTTCTCTGTGGTGGCGCCCAATCTATGGAATGCGCTCCCCAGAGAGGTCCGCCTGGCGCCGTCGTTATTTGTTTTTCAGCGCCAGGCGAAGACCTTTTTATTTAAGCATCATTTTAATTGTTAATATTATTTATTCATTTTATTCTTTGGCCAGGGTGACTTAATTTATATTGTTAATTTATATTGTTTTATTGAATTCTATTTATTTATGGTTGTGAGCTGCCCCAAGGCTTCGGTGAATGGGGCGGCATAGAAGTGCCCTAAATAAATAAATAAATAAATAAAGAGAAGACAGTAAACAGAACAGCCAACAACATGTTTGTTCAATTCAGTATTTTCTAATTAATGCATCAAATGTTATTGCAGAAAAGGAAATTCCAAAATTTAAAAAAATATTAGCTCAGCCTGAGTAGAAACACCTGGTCATTGTGGGACGTATGTTCAGGATGACTGGCTTGTTCGGTCCACCACAAGGTACATTTTTCCAGTGGTCTCCACTAAGTAAACAAAGCACATTTGTGTGACATCCCCCTTACTGCCAATGGACTGACTCTTCACTTCTTTTTCTATGACCTCTGAAGTGGGCACAGATAGGTGTGTGACTGGTGAAATACTCAACATTGCTTGTTAATTTGTTTTCTCTGGGTTAACCTTATCTATGATCTTAGATGAAAGATTGCAGGTTTGCCACTTGATGACCTTCTCAGCATGGCTAATGGCCAGGAATGCTGGGAATAGTACTCCCAAATATGAAGGGAAGCAGGTCTGGGAAAGCTGGCCTGCACCAATTGGTAGCAACTGTTCAGGTTTTCAGAGATGAGTTTTTCCCCAACCCTACATGAAGATGGTGGAGATTGACCATGGAACCCTCTGCATCTTTGTGAAGGTTTGGAAAAGGTGGACTGTGAGAATGGTTGGTTTAATCTCCCATGCTATTGAACATCTACATGAATCACTAAGTGGGGTTCTAAAGAATTCTGGACTTCATAGTCCAGATGTATGTATGTTGATGTCTAGATGTATGTATGCTGCATGTTGATGACCTGCAGCTCGGCTTCTCATTGTCATCTCCATAATGTGAGGCTGTATATGTGCTAAATCAGTGCTTGGGTACAGCACTAGACTGGATGAGTGAATATAAACTGAACTTCAGTCCAGACATGAATGGGATGCTATTAGCAGATAATTCTTCTGACTAGATAAAATAAGTTCAACTTGCTTGGAACAGGGTTGCATCTTCCTTGAAGGAGCAGGTTCATAGTTTGGGGGTCTGCCTGGAGCCAATTTGCCACTGGGGACTCTTTTACCAGCTCCTTCTGGTGGCCTAGCTCTGCCTCTATCTGTGCAGGGATAGACTAGTATCAGCAATCTATTCTCTGGTAAACTTCAAGCAATGCATTCCATGTGGGGCTGCCCTTGAAAACTGGTCAGAAGCTGAAGCTGAAGCTTTTGCAAAATGTAAAAGCCAGGCTAAGAACTGGGATCAGAAGTTCTGAGCATGTATAGACATTTATTGTCTTTTTGCAATTTGCAGGCTTGAATGTATTAGTTATACTTGTTCAGAATTCCTTGGCAATTTTATTCTACATACATACATACATGTGTGTGTATCCGTCTTTTTTCCATATTCTATTTATGTTAAGAGAACTGTATTTATGTATAAAGGTTCTGAGCATGTAATTAGTTCTGGCCCACTTGCATTAACTATATATGTCACTGAACCCAACTCAAGGTGTTGGTTTTAACCTGTAACACCAGACATGGTTAGTACTGCAATACCTCTCAGAGCGCCATTCCAAACCTAAATCTACCTGGATGCTAAACTCAACAGCTGATGTCTTCCTCTAACTGCTACCTGGAGGGGAATAACAAGGAAGTGGGCCTTCTCACTAACAGCCGCAGGTTATGGAATGATCTCTGCACCAAGGTCTACCAGGTGGCAGTTTTGTGATCCTTCAGCACTAGGTTAGGACTGCCATCGATGCTGAGACATTTAAGGATTCTAAATAGAATGTGGGTGGCTTTGGTCGGTTGAATTTACTTATTTACTTTAACATTTTAACATTTAGATGCCACTGAATAACCCAATGGGAATCTCTAAGCGGCCAACAATATACAACAAACAGTATGACTATGGTCAGAAGAGGGGAGGTAATCTGTTGGAGTGAGTGCTTATAATCAGTTTTTAAATTCAGGTTTTGTTAAAAATGCAAAAGAGAATGGTCTTTGCCTGGCACTGGAATGAAAGCAGAGATGGCACCAGGCAGCCTTCTTTAGGAAGCATGTTCTATTGTTGGGGGCAGCCACCAAGAAGGTCTTCTTCCTTTCCCTCCTTTTCTTTAACAGGTTTAACTGTAACTAGAACTGTAACTCTTTTTTCAGTTGTTCAGACTTCTTAAAATTCTATTTTAAAATGTGTCTTAAAGTTGTTATGTTGCCTTTATTCTATTTGTACTGTGTGAAATCTTACTACACATACATGTGAGCAGTATAGCTGTGAAATAAATAACAGTCCCATTGGAGATTTAGGCATTAATACTCAGAAAGGGCTTCTATGGCAGAATCGTGGCTTTGGGGGAATTTAGTACAGGAGATAGTCTGAATGAGAACTCTAAGGAAAGGTCTGTTCCTACCAAGAAAGCAGCCCACCATTGTGGTAACAGAGACCTGACTTTATTTCCATTTGCCATGTTGATGAGCCAGAATCAGTGCAGGCTCCCTCAGCATGTGTGAGGTTTTCAAGAAGTACATGCATCTCTGCAG